TTTTAACGTAGCTACACTATTTCTATTCAAAAAAGTATCTCGCACCGAACAATTCCATGCACGCATAATCTGTCCTTCGTGATGTTTATGAGAATGTGATACATTATTGTGTTTTATCTCTTTTGTGATGAGGTTTATAAAAATGAAAATAAAAAATATAACGTTACAAGAGAAAAATGTTTTCTAGTAATATTCCATAAATACCATGTACACTCACAGTAAATGTTGGTTTATGTTCGGGTGGCTAACTGTGTGTGTAAACAGAAATATTATTTAAATAGAAGTAAAAGGCAGGAGGAAGTTTCAAGTTATTCAATTATTATATGTCTGACCTGATAGGAAGCACATTTGAAAACCAGTGCTAAAAAACAGAAAGTGGTGGCTTGAATAGGAAATAGGAAGGGAGATTATATTGATAATGCTTTGTAATTGATGATTTGTACTCATTCTAAAAAAAAAAAAAGAAAAAAAAATGTATCATATGACTGAGTGGGCCACAGCTTAAAGCAGTACTTTCATGTTTGTTTAATTCTTTCAGTTTTCCTTTCCTTTTGCCCCTGTATCTTAAAGAGATACTATAAGTGCCTGGAATACAAAGTTGTATTCTTGTCACTATAGCTCCCTCTGACTCCCCCCTCCCATGCCCCACCACCCCCCTTCCCATGTTGGTCAATAAGGGGTTACAAACCCTTTATTTACTTACTTTATCCTTACTTACTTTATCCCAGCACCTCTGTCCCGCGATGAGAGGGAACTAATGCGCATGCACAACAAATGCCCCATGCACATTAAACCTCCCCATAAAAAGGCATTGAATCAATGCTTTCCTGTGGGGAAAAATCTGACTCTGGATAGCCTCATATGTGTATCCATATCAATTTGCGTGTCTGTGTATATATGTCCATGTGTTTATATCAATGTGCATATGTGTATGAGTGTGTGTGTATGTGTCTGTTTGTGTATGAATATCAATGTGTGTGTGTGTATGTGTCCATGTTTTTATATCAATGTGTATGAGTGTGTGTTTATGTGTCTGTTTGTATATGAATATCAATGTGTGTGTGTATATGTATTCAGGTCTCTATATATGAATGTGTGTGTGTGTCTATGTGTCTGTGTATGAATATCAATGTGTGTGTATATGTATTCAGGTGTCTATATATGAATGTATGTGTGTACATGAATGTAAGTAGGAGTGAATATGAATCTATACGAACAATGAATGTCAGTATGTGCGTAAAAATACTTTCCACCCCGGATGCCGCTTAACCTAGGTATGACTCTGATTCCCACAATCCAAATTTACCTTATTTCTCAATATAGTCATTGGAGCTCACCTGCAGCTGGGGAGCTGGTATTTAACTGGTTCAATAGGATACTTAATAAAATCACACTTGTCAGTATGTCGAATTACTGTGCAGTATATATTTAGAATATTAATCGCCTTACTTTGACTCACACAATACCATGATGACTGTGACTGAGAATCATGAGAGCTACAATTCAGAGCATCTTGAATGCAGGTACTCCCTGAGTGAGGTTATCTGTGCCCTCACGGCAGATGAACAGACTGCCAGAAACAATATGAATTTCTTTGTAATTTTCTTACTTTGTGAAGAGTAATTGCCTAAATCAGAGACTAAGACCCAAATAGACGATTGCAGATATATTAAGAACACCTCAGATGTCATCGCAGAAGTTACAGTTCAAACAGGAGTTGCTGCCAATTGTTGACAGACCAGAGGAAGGGGATTTTTTTTTACAATAAAACATAAAAAAAAAAAATATAGATTATATTGCTATAATTTTTTTTTTAATGATAGTTATCCTTTAAAATTAAACAGTCCCAGATAATATCCCCCTGTCACTCAGCCAATTGGAGGTCATTGTGAGCTGAGTTGCAGACCTAATCACTTCCCTTTGCATATTGTTCTAAAGGCATTCTAAGGGTAACGATGACTCTCTTTGGGGTGGAATAATGTCAACAACTAAGCTCACGCTGATTTTGTATATTCTTAGCTGTATACACACTCAGAGAATGTCTAATAATGAGAAAGTTGTTTTGTGAAAAAGGGGGCATAGTTACACTGCAGAAAGCTACAAAACTTTCTTTATTTTTTAGCAACACTAAGGAGATTTGCATGTGGAGAAAAATACACCATGAATTTGAGGCCCAAATTTTTTCAATTCTACTTAAACGGACGCCTCGCACCTCATGCAGTTTAGCTTGCTGAAGTGCTGTATGTGTGAAGAGTGTGTCCTCTTTTTATTTTTTTATTTTACAAAAAGTGCAGATTTCAATACAAATTTACACTTTTATAAATTAACATTGTTACACCCCCTGGCTGCCAATCAGACAACCGATCCTGATCCTTCCTGGTTGTTTAGCTCACTGGAGGCAGCAATTACACAGAGCACCTGCCTTGCAAAGACTTCTCATTGAGCTGCATTGGGAAGACTGTGATTATGTGTGGTTATTTTTTTGTAGTTCGGCTGTAGAGTATCCCTTTACGCTGTGCTGTTTGTTCGTTTTTTTGGTTTGTTTTTCTGTTTACTTTTAAAAAAAATACAAGAAAGCCAAGAAGGATCCTTCACCCCTCCCTTTTTTGTGGCACATTTAGAAATGGCTACAATTGGGAGGGATCCCTTCTTTTGGGTCAACTGCATAAAGGATTGGGTTTCAATGTTGAACTTGACGGACTCTTTCAACCCCTGCAATGCTGTGTATGTAGAGGAATTCTATAGAGTTCATGCACTCGTTCAATATTTCTGTTTAAGTACCCTAGCATTCATAAGTGTGTCCCAATGCATTATGGGATGGCAAGGTCAACGTGCAAACTCCTTTACCTTATTAACTATGATAAACACTGCCACTGCATTTACTGGGATTGGGGAACAAGGAACTGTTACTTTCAGAGAAATTGCAGTTTCACTTTAAGGAGAAGGGCTTAGCCCTGAATTATTAGTTACTGGGAATTGCATGTAATTTAAAATTCAGATAAACTGCAAAAAAGTTGGATAAAATTGTAAAACCAATCCAAAAAAATCTTCAGGCAAGGAATTGTTTATATGCTAATTATTAGTTAAATATAATGTTGGTAGCAATCAATTTAAAAATCTTTGTAAGCTGCTCTTGAAAAAGGGTCATAAGTAATATAATATCCAATATGTAAGGACAAATGAAGAATATTGAAATTTGAAATATTCCAATGAATAGCTAGTGTAAAATTTCTAAAAGAAAGATGAACCAAATAAAAACATATGATGAACCCACTGAGACATGGGGCAAATTAACAATGGTGGCACTGAATGGGTTCATTCTAACATGATTATCAAGGTAAATTCAAAGTGACAGATAAATAAATATTAGGTTGCAATTGCCAAACCGATCACATGACTTGCAGAATTGTTGCAATTTAAATTTTTGGGCCTAAAATGTTAAATTCCTGTGAATTCTTGCTGATTCACACTATATTGAGTAATCCTTTGTGCGTACAGCTAATTCTAAACATTTTAGCAAATCGGCTATTTTAACTTGCATTTTACAATCAGATTTTTACACTTGACCATTGGAGCGATACTAAAAAAAAAATACAGTTATTTAAATAAGCACAGGGATTTGGGATAGTGCGCAAGTAACTTTTTTAAAGGACCACCATAGTGCCAGGAAAACACTCGTGCCCCCACCCTCAGGGTCCTACTCCCGCCGGGCTGGATGGAGAGAAAGGGTTTAAACACTTACCTTTTTCCAGCACCGGGCTCCCTCGGCGCGGGGCACTCTCCTCCTAATTTCCCCATCATCGACTGAATGCGCGTGCGCAGCAAGAGCCGCGCGTGCATTCAGCCAGTCTCATAGGAAAGCATTCTCAATGCTTTCCTATGGACGCTGGCGTCTTCTAACCGTGAAAATCACAGTGAGAAGCGCGGAAGCGCCTCTAGTGGCTGTCAATGAGACAGCCACTAGAGGCTGGATTAACCCATTTGTAAACATAGCAATTTCTCTGAAACTGCTATGTTTACAGCAGAAAGGGCTAATCCTAGGTGGACCTGGCACCCAGACCACTTAATTAAGCTGAAGTGGTCTGGGTGCCTAGAGTGGTCCTTTAATATTTAATGAATAAACCCCTGTGCCAATTTTACAAGATGTGAGGCAATCCTGTTTGAGTATTGAGTTAACATATAATTGATACCTCCTGTCCTGACTCTTACAGGAATATCCACTGAACTCAGAATTGTAGCAAATTAAAACCTAAATAGCAAAACTGAGGCTGAACCCCCAGTTTAACTACAGTCCCAACTTGGCTATTTATGCCTAAATGTTCAGTTTCCTATTTCGATTCTCTAAAATGAAATCCCACAATTTGCCATTTGACACAAGGGCAGGATATTTGTGTGTATGTGTTTAATGCGACTCTTATCTAGCTATTTAATATAACCCTGCATATGAATATCATACAGCATTGCACAATAGTCTAGCGATTAATATATAATATTAGCAGAGTAACAATGTATCACCCCCTGTCTAGGAATAACACAGAGTGTGTCTGGCTCACAGATATAATAGCATTCCATTGAAGGATTGGCACACTGTCTGTAATATGAATTCAGTTTATAATTAGAATGACAATGAAGCATTAATGAGATACATGTAACCTGTCACAGTGATACTTTCCTGTAACATGACAGATTTAGAGCAAGCATGCTTTGATCTGCCCACAGGTTGATCTCAGGGTGCCTGATATGATCTTTACTGGTAAAAGGGGTAATTTCTAGACAGAGCCCCGTGGGTGTTAATGGAGACCCTAAGGTCAGAGGATGCACTCTCATTTCTCGGAAAAGACTGCACTTAAAAGAAGGAAACTTTCTCTATGACTCCTATTGGCCAGCAGGGCACACATTGCCCTCTCTCTATTGGAGGAGCTGGCTGTCTGTCAGGCAGGGGGAGGGTCTGATATTGTTTTAGGAACATGCTGAGCTGGGGAAGGATTCAGCACACTGCAGAGAGGACAGCACTCAGCTAAGGTATACTATGGCACACTCACACTCAGAGCTGGCATTAGAGGGCATCACTTGCTGGGAGCTTTGTCACTGGGGCTGTACAGGCTGGTTAAACTAATAGCCTTCAATGGCAGTCCATTGAATTCTAGATCAGCATACACTGCAGTGCAGTACAGGGCTGGGGAGGGGGGCTTACTAACACCTGTAACAGCTGCTGCAGAACATCTTTAATATCCAGAACTGAACACAGGCACAGCCAATAGAATAGTCAATGGCAGATGTCCCAACAGGTTCTGGATCAGGTCCTCCCCTTACAGCAGCAGCCTTTGCTATGGGACAGTAAGTACTAGAGGGACCCTGTAGGTTAACATAGTTCTGGGACAAAGCCGTGGAGCAGTCACCATGGAAACCGATAGAACACTCTACCGTGGCAACCTATAGAATATTCATATTCATTGCTTGAATTTGGTCCAGAACTGTCATTGTTTTATGTGATTATTGGGGGAATCTATTAGCTGTATGTGACCCGGCTAGATACTATCTGCAAACATTGATTTCTAACATTAACTATGTTTCTATGATTTAAGGGTAGATTGAGAGGTTTAACATTGAGACACTTAATTAATGCTTGTTTTAACGAATGAATGATGATGATGCAAATTATAATTTGCAGAATTTAAGGATGAAATAGGAAATGTACATATATATAACAATGATATTTTAACTGTTTTAATATAAGGATCAGACATAAAAGTAAATAAATGTACGCTAACCGTTATTAAACCAGGAGTTTAGTTTGTCAATGCACGTAGTCTGTTATACTCAAACTGACAGGGCTATTTACACCAGGGTGAACTTTCGGGAATTGAAAGCCAGTTCAATGTGAATTTTTAATTTTAGCCCAAAAAAGATAATTAAAAAACAAAGCCGATTTGGAGATTTTTCCCAGTTAGGCTATTGCGGCTAATATCTGAAATTTACTTTGAATTCACTTTTAATGCCTGAATGTTCACGCTTGGGTGAAATGTTATTTCTAAATTATGTAAGTCACATCCTTGTACTTTGCCATATGTGAGTTTCATAAATGATACTGGTCATATGCAAAAAACAATAGCTCACTCCACCCTTTTAATTGTGCAGTGATTGAGTAATGCTGGTGGATGGTAAAATCTGGGTGGTTTTTCCAAGTTGGACTCCTCTCAAAATGATTGTATATTTGTAGTTGTATTTTCCTTGTGTATAGGCGGGTACATTAACCCAGTTTGAACAATCATTCACGCTGCCAATCAAACAAACTGACACTTGTTTTATATATAGATATACAGGAAACTGTACTTATGGTTCTTGTTTGGCTAAACGGAAATACATCCTACGTGTTAGTCCCCTTAGATTTAGATTTATCTAACAAACTCTGCTCTAAAGCCATTTTGGTTAGAGAGAAATACCAATTCACATAAGACATTTACTATTTACAGGGGACATGGAACTAACCTATTCATATGATGCAGAGGTAATAAATGTATTGCAAACAGAGAAGTGCAGAAAATTCGAAACTAATGGCTTTGTATGGCTATTGATTCCATTTTAGAATTTCGCTCCACTTTATGGTTTGACACACATTTCTCAATGTTCTTTTATGTCACCAAAGCAAGATATTTGAAGATGAATAAGTGATGGGTGCTGTGCCAGTATTGAAGGCTGCTTCCATGACACGTTAAACAGACATATAGCATGTGTTTGTAGTGATTATTGTCTTGGGTGAACCTTTTTAAGTTGTCACAGTGTTCTATCATGATGAAATGGTTTATCATGCACGCTATGCATAAAGTACGTACCTTTGCGTTGAAATTAAAATATGCCAGAAATGAATTCACATTCACTGACCTCAGGCTCTCAGCATTCTTCTGGCTTTATCTATGCCAATCTTCTATTCATATCCTTCAACCCATTTCCTAAACTACAATCAGTGTTTATACTGACAGCAGGAAGCGTTTTACCTTTTGTGGCCATGCCCTTGTTTTCTTACTGTGAAGTCTTACAGGTAGTGTGAGTTCCCCTGGGGAAGGAATGCAAACTATTCAATATCGTAATAGTTATGAAAGTGAAAAAGAAAATACTTTTACTAACTTAAAGGGACACTGCCGCCCAATATAATTGCATAAGTAGACAGTCTCCAAATACATTTAATTCAAGGAGTTTTCTGCGTGTTTAAAATACTATGTATAAAGCCTTGCCTGGTTTTTAACCTCTGTATGAAAGCTCCTTACGCTCTCCAGACCCATCTTTAGTGTTAAAGGAACCATTCATTAACTTCTAGCAGCTAGACATGACTGATTGCAAGGTGTTTAGCACAGACTGGGAATTTGAAAATATTGCAAGATCTCTTGGATTGATATATAGCTGTCTGTGTATCACTCACTCCGTGTATCAGTCACAGACAGTGTGGTAGCAAAATTCTACTTCTATGTTCAAATTTATACAGCTCTCAGTTTTGTCTTGTGGTAAAGAGAACACTGGCTCCTTTGCAGGTTTTTTAATTCTTACTAAATCTTTTAAGACAATGTAATGGATCCACCTTTGCCATTCTTAAATCGTACTAAATTTCATGGCAAAGCTACTTTTACAATGCCATGTCTCCCCTCTAGAGCAACAATGCTGTAAATGTCTAACGCTAAAACTGCTGTGTTTTTCAGATGTGTGACCGTAACACAGGCAGGAGGCTACGACAATGGCTAATAGAGCAAATCGACAGTGGATACTACTCCGGACTTGTATGGGAAAATGATGAGAAAAGCCTTTTCCGAATCCCCTGGAAACATGCTGGGAAGCAGGACTACAACCAGGAAGTGGATGCATCTATTTTCAAGGTAAATAAACCATATTCTATGCAGTGAGTCAGATTAGGGCAGGTTAAACCATGAAAATGGACTTTGTCCCAAATATGGCAAAACCCAATGTAGCATCCTATGTGCACAATTGATGCAAATCGTGTCTTATTCAGACTCAGAATTATTGGTGGTAAGGAGATACATTGCCTGTCTATTTACTCTTTGAATATAGTTTTGGCATTTCGTGTGGACCATTTTTCTTTAATTACTGAAGGAGCAGTTGTAGGGCAATATTTTATAAATGGGCAATCACCATGGAAACCAAAGAACTATTTGCTGCTGATTGTCCCACTGTTTAGTCCAGAGTCATTCCTTGTTACGAACCCCCATTGTGTCTTGAATATGTTCATGGCTTGCTATGTCTGTGGGCGAGTGGAGTCATAAATTGGTTAAACGTTTAGTGCTTGTAATAGCTCTAATTTCATAGTGCTGGTTGATTGTATTTTACTGCACATGTGAATGGATATAGCTACCTATTTACTACCCAAAGCTCACCCTTTCTGTATGTCCCCTCCACCCAGATTGAAGTACAACTCCTATTTATTGGAGTCATAAAAGGTACGTCTACACACAAAGGGTGCAGCAAGTGTTGCTTATAGAAAAGTGTTGCAAGGATCTAAACGTGGTGCAGTCTCCATGGGAACTGTCTGCTGATTCAGTTGGTTCCCAGGGTGATTGTTGCACTTTTAGAATATTGCTCCACATTTCAGTTTACATAGTAACTTGTGTAAATCTCTCCCTTTGTGTCATCAGACCGTAGTGATACCTGCGTACCGTACCACATAGCCACAGGTGTCTATTGTTCAGTGAATACTTAAGGAAGCCACTAATTTCACATCTAACCCAATATCAGTAAACAACATGTAAACTGGATACTATGATAAAAGTATTTAAAAAAAAACAAAAAAAACTGACGTGGTTAATTCTCTCAGTTTTACGTTGCTATGGTAACTAGTTAACGCAAGTGACAGATTGTTTGTGCAGTACATCATGATTTTATTGTGTGATTTGTGTATGGACAACAATAAGAAGAGCACATAATGCTACTTCTACAGATAGAAACACAGTATTCTAGCAATCTGGTTGCTCTGTGTTTGTGCCGTACATTACATGATATTCTTAGGAACCCAGTTTTTTTTTTGTCAATCTTTATTTTATGCGTGCATATGAATAACATACAATCTTACAATGCCCCAACAGCATTGGTAAGACAAGACAGGTTCAGTTGAAGGCATTCGTATAGTTGAAGGCATTCGATATATATTTTTATATTAATAACATGCGATAAACAGGTTGAATCATACATATCCAGCTATTAGTTAGAACTATGGCAGAGTATAGAGGCGCTTAGCTGACTGGACATGCTGGCTACTTCTATTAGTTGAGTGTAAGGAACATGCTTAACTATGATGAGAATGCAGGGAAGTTGCACAGTAGGAGACTTGAAAATTACGAATAACACGCTAGCTTCACTGTACAACGAGCTACTTCAAGATAACGATGGTAAGATAAGGTAAATAAAAGAAAACAGGCATCAACATAAATTTTAAAGTCAATGGTTGCTAGGAGCCAGGATGATACTTCACCATGAAGTAAGGTGGCATGCTGCTTTACTTTGCCAAGTCTGCGGCTTGTGTCTTGTACCCCTCTGGCTGGCTTGCACCCAATACCTTTGCTGACTATCTGAGTCAGGTATGGAGACAATTCCTAGAAAGTCCATGCTAGGCTGCTCCGCCAGCCCTAGCCTGTCTAAAGAGCCTCTGTGCGGACCCCACTGCTCTGGTTTCCCACGCCAACGTGAGTATAGTCTCGATGAGATGCTTTTGCCTCTTGAGCTCGTGCTTCTCTCGAGGATGTGGGTCATGCACCAGGGATGGCCCCCTTTGGGCTCTCGGCCTTGGAAGGCAGTAGCGAGCGTTGGGCACTTCGGGACTGAATGTGGTTTTCAGGTGTGCATTCTTCTTCCCCGGCTTCTTTGGTCTGTGAGTTCATCTGGTGCGCCGAGGTCTGCCAGCCTCGTGGTGCAGACTGCTGGAATGTGCGGGTCGCCACCTGTCGGTCTGCTGCCACTTTCCCTCAGTCTGCGCCCCTCTAAAGCTTCAGCCAAAAGTTGCTGAAGATCGCGTCCAGCCGCTGTTCGAAACTATCCAGCAGGCCTTGTGTCATCGTGGTCAGCACCATCATCACCATCTTGGCTCTGGCTGCGGTATAGTGCGATGTAACAGGATCAGGTGAGTTCCCTGGCTCCCCTTGTTGCCTTACAGTAGAGCCTGTATGTTGATTGATTGTGCTGGGATATCCCTCACTGGCAGGGGGAGAAAACGGGGGTTCCAAGTGCTTCAGCGTATTCCTGCAGGACTGCTTACAGGGAGAACAGCCGTCTCTCCTGCGCTTGCGTCTGCTGGTAGACCACAATTCGTAGTCTGATTCAGGATGCTTCTCTGAGCATGGAAATCCACCCGGTTGAGTCCCGGGTTTCACCGATGCTCTGCTGCACCAATTTAGTAATTTTGGTGTGACTTGTCAGCAATATGTTGCTTTTAGCGTGTTTCTGCTCGGAGCCCACGTTTAGTGCGACCAGTCTGATCAGCGACTAGGCACCGCCCACCCCAGTAACCCAGTGTTGATCCATTAAGTTAGCATTTTTTCTGAATTTTAGTGCAGGGCTGAGCCAAAACCTTGTGCTTCTCATTTTCTTCATTAAACGGATATAGTGGAATAGTTTAAAATTAAACTTGGGCCCAGAGATTGCCTCGATCTTGGACACAATAAGCAGCAAAAACAGCAAGAGTCGAAGTCGTATTGGATTCACTACAGTAATGACAAATCTAGCATGCTTCCCAACATTGGGTAATATGGAAGCGGGAAATGTAAAATGTCAACCTAGCAAGTATGCACACATAGCAGCTAGCCAGCTGGGCCTGCACATGGCAGAGTGGTGCAGAAGTGGTGTTGAAGAGTAATAAATGTTTAACTATGACCTTGCTTAGTGGTATTGGGCTTTCTGGTAACTTTTCTTTAGATTCCCAAAGCTGGACTTGAAATTAAAAATAAATGTGATGCTATAGACCGGTCCCAAATCAGGAGACTTCTGTTGGACCCTTGACTGTTGGGAGATAGCATGGCTTCCCACAATGCTTACCGTGGTTTCTGCTTAGCATTATGGGAGACCAATGTCCATACTTTAAATACATTTGGTAATTTTGTCAGTACAATGTATATATTACATGAAAGGATGTTCTGCGGATAACAAACCCAGGCTGTGTGATGTGACCATGTAAGGCAAAGTCTCCCGTTTTGTTTTGCAGGCATGGGCTGTTTTTAAAGGGAAATTTAAAGAGGGCGACAAAGCTGAACCAGCAACGTGGAAAACCCGGCTCCGCTGTGCCCTCAACAAGAGCCCAGACTTCGAGGAGGTGACAGAAAGATCTCAGCTGGACATTTCCGAACCCTACAAGGTGTACAGGATAGTGCCAGAAGAAGAGCAGAAGGGTACGTTTAGAAATGGAGAGACTGTCACATGGGTTTTATTGTAGCCAGGGATGTAGGTAGCCTCGGGGTGCTGAAAGCTCTGTGCTTTTGGCAGATTAACCCATTTAACACCACGTGTCCAGCACATTGCTTTGTATTGGGTTTGGTACATCCCTTGAAATCAAAGGGTTAAAGAGCCAGAACAAGGCAGCCATATTTCTTAATGACATAAGTCTCTGGTTTTCTTGCCCGTAATTTACTTTGCTGAATTCTTCCTCTGCAGGTAAACCAGGGTGTGCGAACCTGAATGATGCCACAGACATGGAATGCAGCTCAACAGAGATGGAGGTTAGAGGCTGATACAGTATCAGCATGATCTAAAGTTTATGTGGTTTATTCATTCAGTAAAAAATGTACCTATTGAGCCTTATTTTGGCATAAATATCACATCGTAAATCTCACACATTGAACCCAAACACAAACTGGCCTTCTATTAAAGTACTACATCAATTGCTTTGCACTTCTTGGTTTGAAATCAATACATACAGTTAAAACCATAAATTCATTTTAATACAGGGAGATGATTATTAATATTGTGAGTATTACTTCAGTATATCTACAAGTGACTGTGACTAAATAGTTTGACATACAGGAACAAGATGTGATGAGGGTCCTGCTCAAACCCTCACACAGTCTAAAGAGAGTGGATATAAAGTAAACTACACAATCTATGGAGATGTAATATAAGAAGGAAGAATGGGATACAGGGCCCTTGCACAGTCAGTGGCATGGCTCTCTCTCTTCAGAGAAGCCAAGTTTGATGATGAGATGTACAAAACCAGGATAAAATCGAAATTTAGTCAGCATGGAAATCTTGTTCCAATCTGTCTGATTGGCAGGAGCCAGACGTGGAATTACACCCTAGCAAAAAACTGGCAGTGTTTCTAGCCAAAATTTTGCACAGACTGGGTTTCCTGCTCCATAACTATCTCAGTTAGTTGAAGTTGTTATGGTGCTTAGAGTAACTTTTTATAACTAACTATTTAATAGGAGTTATGTTTTGGTGCACAGTCTTGGTGAACGTGTTGATGCTATTATAGTTTACGATAATAATATTATGTATCATTTGTTTGCCTGTGGGGGCAGTGAGGGGCTTTGATACAGATCTTTTATGTTTCCTTGTTATGATTTGAGTGGTTTTCTTCCAGACGTCCACAGATGAGTATCTGACTATCATTAAACGTAGCCCCTCGCCAGCAAAAGACACATGTCAGAAGCAGACCGGCCAGGACTGGTGGATATATCCTCACAATACAGGTGGGTACAGTGGTGCCTTAATTCATCATTTCACTGTGACATCACATTAGTATTGTTGAATTACATTTTATGGAGGAATTTAACATACTACCCCCCTCCCAATTTCTATAACAGTTGATTGATGCTGTGGACCTAGTCACCTTATGGTTGTGCTGCACAGTCTCGTTCGATGGAGGTGGGGTAGTGAGATATTACAATCATGTAATAAAGAGTAACTTGAAGAAGGGACGAGTTTACAAAACATTTCCATCCCTTCCTAAATTAAATTATTTATGCTAACACATGTTAAGTTAATTATAGCTTTTAGAGATGTCGTAACAGCTGTAAATCAGGAAGTGTTTATCATTCAATTTCATCATGCTTGTCAGCTGTGCAGGGTCACCGCTTGAGATAACGAGAAAGAGGTTGCACATGGATTAAGGATGCCCTGTTTTCATAGCCCCCCACCTTGTAGGACACAGGCTAGGGAAGCCAGATCCCTCCCAAGATAAAGAGGAAATGACAGATACACACAAGCAAAACATGTTGCAGCAACATATCAAATCAACAGCAACATAACCAATGGCAATTACTATACATACATCCTCTAAGTGGGAATACAAGATGCTAATGTGATGCTTTTTTTTTTTTTTTAAATGTGTTGAAAAGAAAGCGAATACTAATTAGTAAAAATGGCTGGTATATGACCAGCTTGCATCTCTTCCATATTCGCCATCTATTGCATCTACATTATACTGTCTATTTTAACACGTGCTGGAATTTTGGGAAATCAGATTCCCAAACATGGCCCCTTCAGTGATACAATGTCCAGATGTATACTGCCCCATATTTAACAGTGGGGTTTAAATAGTGATCGCATTCAAAATAACGTGATTCTATAGGATAATAACTGATAGTGGTAACCAGCTGCGTTGAATGTATATTCTGTGTCCTACATTTAGTATATGATTAGCAGTATGTTGACCAGAAGGTTTAAATGACTGGTTTCTGTCTCTCCTTAGGAGTATCAGCAATGGACGGTTATCCAGCATATGACCCAATTTCTCACGGTAAGGAAGATTTATTTTTGGTTTACTAATCTTAATTTCATAGAAACGAAAACCCAGTCTAGAATAGATAAATACTTTTGTGGGCTCTTGCACTGTGCCACTATGTTATTTATACAAGCATTACCCAAATGTTTTAAATCATATTACCCAGAAATAGTTAATATCAACCTTTTTTTTTTCATCAACAAATACCCCAAAGATAAACTGAAAATATCAATGGCTAAAATATTAAAGGAACACTATAGTCACCTAAATTACTTTAGCTAAATAAAGCAGTTTTAGTGTATAGATCATTCCCCTGCAATTTCACTGCTCAATTCACTGTCATTTAGGAGTTAAATCACTTTGTTTCTGTTTATGCAGCCCTAGCCACACCTCCCCTGGCTATGATTGACAGAGCCTGCATGAAAAAAAAAACTGGTTTTACTTTCAAACAGATGTAATTTACCTTAAATAATTGTATCTCAATCTCTAAATTGAACTTTAATCACATACAGGAGGCTCTTGCAGGGTCTAGCAAGCTATTAACATAGCAGGGGATAAGAAAATCTTAATTAAACAGAACTTATTTAATTAATAAAGAAAGCCTAAATAGAGCTCTCTTTACAGGAAGTGTTTATGGAAGGCTGTGCAAGTCACATGCAGGGAGGTGTGACTAGGGTTCATAAACAAAGGGATTTAACTCCTAAATGGCAGAGGATTGAGCAGTGAGGCTGCAGGGGCATGTTCTATACACCAAAACTGCTTCATTAAGCTAAAGTTGTTCAGGTGACTATAGTGTCCCTTTAATTATTAGAGATGCAATAGCTGCTTCATACCAGGTACTCCTTATGATAGTAGTACAGATAGAAAACCTATGTGGATCTGCTTTATTTTGCTGTGATTAAGAATACACTGTAGCTAATATTTGGCTTGCTGTATTACGATATTACTACTGAGCAGTTGTGCTTGATTACCATTTACCATCATTTATCTGGGTCTGGTGGGACACTGATTCACAGCATCCGCTAACATGTTGGTGGATGCCGGCAGTGGACATTTCCTGTTTATTTTGGGATAATAAGTTGTATTTGTATTGTAGAAACATACATACATGTTATTCATCACTGAATAGCCTGAAATTCCTGCTTAAAGAAATGAGTTGTGATACCATATTGCTAATACAGGGGATGGTTATAAAGCACACTCACAGTCCTAGGGTTAGAAATTACCCATCTGGTTATATAGCACACTCGCAGTCCTAGGGTTAGAAATTACCCATCTGGTTATATAGCACTCTCACAGTCCTAGTGTTAGCAATTACCCATCTGGTTATATAGCACTCTCACAGTTCCAGAGTTAGAAATTACCCATCTGGTTATATAGCACTCTCACAATCCTAGGGTTAGAAATTACCCATCTGGTTATATAGCACTCTCACAGTCCTAGGGTTAGAAATTACCCATCTGGTTAGACAGCACTCTCACAGTCCTAGGGTTAGAAATTACCCATCTGGTTATATAGCACTCTCACAGTCCTAGGGTTAGAAATTACCCATCTGGTTATATAGCACTCTCACAGTTCTAGGGTTAGCAATTACCCATCTGGTTATATAGCACTCTCACAGTTCCAGAGTTAGAAATTACCCATCTGGTTATATAGCACTCTCACAGTCCTAGGGTTAGAAATTACCCATCTGGTTATATAGCACTCTCACAGTTCTAGGGTTAGCAATTACCCATCTGGTTATATAGCACTCTCACAGTTCCAGAGTTAGAAATTACCCATCTGGTTATATAGCACTCTCACAATCCTAGGGTTAGAAATTACCCATCTGGTTATATAGCACTCTCACAGTCCTAGGGTTAGAAATTACCCATCTGGTTAGACAGCACTCTCACAGTCCTAGGGTTAGAAATTACCCATCTGGTTATATAGCACTCTCACAGTCCTAGGGTTAGAAATTACCCATCTGGTTATATAGCACTCTCACAGTTCTAGGGTTAGCAATTACCCATCTGGTTATATAGCACTCTCACAGTTCCAGAGTTAGAAATTACCCATCTGGTTATATAGCACTCTCACAGTCCTAGGGTTAGAAATTACCCATCTGGTTATATTGCACTCTCACAGTCCTAGGGTTAGAAATTGCCCATTTGCCATTGACGTTGAGAGAAATGTAAATGTACTTTATCTTCCCATCTGCAAACCAGTAACAGGGCTCGCTTTGAATCACACAGGAGGATGGCTAGGGTTAGAAATTGACATCCAGTGGTACCATCTGTTTTCCCTTCTTTTAATATGTTGTGTCACACCCACCCATTTCCCAATAGGGTCCCCTGGCTATCTAAGTCTGTATTTTGCTTACACTTACCTGGGGATATGTACAATCACAATGATTTGAGGAAATCTAATCAGAGTTGAAGAAGGGATAAAATAATACACATTTATTCAAAATAAAAAGCCAGAGTGGGACAAGGTCTCTAGATACAGGGTACCTGACACTGTAGATACAATCAGTATTAGTCAATAATCTTAGTATTTCAATGTATTGACTTAAGGTTAATATACAAGATAAGATAGCACCTTATCTGCTCTTATTATTCACCTTTCTGTTAAATGAACATACAATAAAGACACGTTTTAAGATAGCGAGTCTGATTACTGGAAGTAATGTCATTTCTCTTCCAGAAAAAGGAGGAGTAAGTAATAATCATTTATCAAAAGCAAACAGCAGTTAGCTAAAGAAAAGTCTTCCTGGAGGACTGCATAGAAGCACAGATGGGCAGTGATTCTTTGATTACTGATATAATGGACAGAACTCACTGTATTAACTCTACAATAAGATATGGCGTTCTCTAACAGGTTGTAACTTACAGGTTACATTTTCAAACTGAATAAAAGCACATTACATGTAATGATCATCCCCTTTATGTATTTCAAAACTGTACAGTTTATTTTTTGTAGGAGTAATTACATATAATTGTTGAGGGAACTGCCAATTTTGTAACAAAGCAACCAAGGTGGAAAAAAATATTACAGTTCTCTACAGTTCTTGGTTAATGAATAATCGCTTATAATTTTGCTTAAATGTACTGTTTGCCTTTTAACTCAACCTCAGAATTTGTCATGGAACTTTCACATCAATAATCATTGAAGAGTTTCCTGTTTGTGACATTCTATACAATTAACTCTTCCATGCTGATCAGAAAACCTGTTCAGACAATCCCTGGTGACGTTGCTGGGTGCAATAAAATATGTCAAGTGTAATGTTGTCGGATTCATATGGATGTAAATTAAGAGGCCGTGCTAGAAACTGAAATCACGTTTTATATTCATCTTAAACAATTTTATTTCATATTATTAGCTTTTAAAAATAGTAACGTTTAAAATAAATAATAAACTGAATTTTTACATTACACCATACGATAGTTTTTCTGCTGGTCTCCAATTCTTCTTTTTTTTTTTTTTTTAATTCTTAAAAAGCGGTTACATACATTGTCAGAGGGATATCAGATAAGTCAGGATTCGAAGAATCATTATGACACGCAGGTGGACAGCACATTTTATATTTTATAGTTAAGATTGCAAATACTAGAGTGTACATAGCCTGGGTCAATGTAGTGGGAATGCGGTCTGGCGGTCTATTGGCTTTTTATGGAGTACCCCTCCATATGGGGGAGAGGGTAGTGTTCCCCAGTTGTTGCGAGCGTGAGGAAAGGGCCAGATGCGGGTAGCGAGGGGCCTTGTTGTTGCGTGTGTGTAGGGGAAGACCATGGTGGGTCCTGTGTAAGGTTACCTATTTTTTACACACATTTCAATAGCATGCAGAGAAAAATAATTTTTCCATTACACTGTCCCTTTAAACACATCTCTAACACAGGAAGCACCTGACCGTCTGTGGGGAGCACACATTGCCCCGCATCGGTGAAGCGTAACTTGCATAGAAATTCTATCCAAAATATAGATTTTACTGAATAGTATGTAAACAATTATTTTGTGTACGCCAAGAGCCATATCCTTTATGTATTATACGAAAATAATTTTATATAATATGTATATACTGTATGCAGATGTTAAACGACCTCTGAAGTCATGATGATTGTATTACAGATATTTGAAAGTTACCCGGTCACTAAATATCCTCAGAATTCACCGAACGTTCTTGATGTTCTATTGAGAGATATGAAAGTAAAAATTATACTGAATTCTCAATGATTTTCTCTCTCGTGCAGGTTTTTCGCAGATGATTATTCAGTTTTTCTATAGTGGTAAGCTGGTGAGCCACATTACCACCACACGTCCCGAAGGGTGCCGCATATCGCTAAGCCAGCACCTTCCTGGCGGAGAGAAGGTTTACGACATGGAAAATCTGGAGAACATCCGATTCCCATCAGCTGAATATATTGCAAGCGAACGCCAGAAGCAGATTACTAGAAAACTATTTGGCCACCTTGACAGAGGAGTTCTCTTATACAGTAATAAGGAAGGTGTATTTATCAAGAGGCTTTGCCAAGGCAGAGTGTTCTGGAGCGGGAACTGCATGCCCTACAAAGACCGCCCAAACAAGCTCGATAGGGATGAAATAGTCAAAATCTTCGATACAAATATGTATATAAGAGGTACGTGCATTTCTTTTTAAATGGCCATTAACCACGTGCTGATAAACATGACAGATAAATATGTTATATTACGGTTTGATATTTATTTACCAGTGATAAACCCAACACAATAGGTCGTTGTGGTTCCACTTTAGGGATTAACATTTGTGTTTATCATTTCCTGGTGATACAGGATAAGTAAGAAATTCCATCTCTCTCCCTGTGCTCCCTCCTCAGATCCAATGCAGTATTGAATAAAACACATGAAATTTTACCGTGCTCTTACACTCACTACCAAAGGTGCTAAGGATCTGAGGACAAAATATTATCTGGCTCCCTTATCTATTATCTGTCTCTCTAGATCTCCAAGACTGGGTTACTGTGGAACTCTGTCACAGTCAGATACAATGTAAAATCCCCAGAATTTGCGTTCTTTGCTTCCTGAATTCTGCTTCTGCAGCTATAAATGATCCCATGTTAAATGCTACCCCCAGGCTCAGCATCATACAGCTGTATGTGGAGTGCAAGGCCTGCTGACTAGTAGTTTACACAGGTTTGGGCATTGTTACATTGCCAGTCTATGATAAACAGATGGCATTGCAAGGTGATTTGACGAATAATACTTATTCAAATTGTGTTAGGTCGTCCTACAGTAAATGTTTTTCGAATATTGCTCTTTAATTGCTGTGAGTGAGGTGAGTGATCACCGGCTCATTGTAATTGATTATCCTTCTGGTACAGGGAAAGACTGATACATTATCACTTTCACAGCGATTGTATACTAGGCAGAAATCACTCCCTTATCTGCAAATAATGTTCTGTCAGTAACACATGTCACATATTGCTTTCTCGAAAATGATGTATTAACCTGTGTAGGTCTCAGGGACAAAGGTAAGTGGAAGCCAAGATACAAGGTTCAAGTACAGTTTTGCAGAAACACGACTTTATGACTTTAATTATTCAGGTACAAGATTGACACTTTGTGAACCTGCTGGTAAATAATAGAACTTGATGGACTTCAATGCAGTCCTGAATGACATCTTAACTTTAATATCTGCTACCGATCCTGGCAGGATCATGCTAAGGCTAAGCAGAAAGAAGTTGCAGTAACTGGCCATGCCATTTAATGTCTCTGTTAATCAGAATTACACTCGTTTTGTCATGTAGAGGATGTATAAGAAAAAAAGGCTGAAAAAGAGACTAGCTTAAGCAAGATCTTTCATTAGTAAATGTAACGAAGCAGGTCATTCTTCAGACGTACAGAACATTTACAAACTCAGTATATAGATCTGTCAGGTTGGCCCTTTAATTAAATTTGTATCTATTTTACACAATCTTCCTGTACATCTGTAGATGCCATGGTGTAAACGGCGTGGCTAATGTGACCCAATACCATAACTGGAAATGACTACTGCTCAGTATGGAAATAAAGAGTAATTCATTCACAGACTGAGGTTATTCCGAATAAAACGAAACAATATTATTGCAGATATATATCAATGATTGTAACCATGGCGACCCTAGGTAAAAAGCAAACTGTTTGATTACTTAAACTGCAATCAAGCTATAGTGGTTATGGTGCTTGGAGTGTTCCCTTAAGTAGTTCTGTATATATTTTACTTGATATTAGTTCACACAAAGCCAGTCGGACATTGTTCACATCCCATACTCCTCTCGCTCTCTTTAAGAACTTCAGCATTGCTACAGCCAAGGAAGGATTCCTGAAAGCAGGATCACGCTATGCTTTGGCGAGGAATTTCCTGACGCAACTCCACTGCAACTCAAACTAATCATTGTGCAGGTAAACCGAATCACCAGATACATTTTTATTGGATTAGAAAAAGAATCAGCGGGGGAAGTTTAATGCGGAATAATGTCTATTTGGGGTTGAATTTATATTGCTGTAAATGATCAATTCTGAGGTCTTTTCCATCATTTATTCATTTTGTTACTTCACCTGTTCTTTTGTGTAACTTTTTGTGTTGCACATTCCATTTAATAACCTTTATTCTTTTTGCGCCCAAACATATAACATTTTCTGGTGTTCTCCTTCATTACAGTAATTTCTTATTTGATAGTAAAAGTAAGATGGTTAAAGAGCTTAAAGAACTCTTAATAGTGGCCAGCCAGGGGCCTCTCTTCCTGGCCAGTATAGGAATAGCTTGCAAGGACGAATAGGAGTTGCACTTCCAGATGACCAGAAGTAAATGGAAAACAAAAGCAGAAAGGTCCGACGGAGGAGTACATTTAAGTGATGGGTAATAGGAATTAAGTGAATCCACCTATGTGGTTCAGAGCTACAAGCTAGCTCTGGGGTAGATGCTTAAACCATTCACTGTGGTTCACTATGTAAAGGATATTGAATGAGGCTAACAAAGTTTCAAAAATGTATACAGTATTTACTAATAATCCAGTCTAGATGGCTTGCTAATCAGAGAGAGGACAGCTGTCGTAGAACCATTTTACTACATCTTGAATGTGAAAATGTTGATAATCATAGAACATAACTGTAACAGTTAGTTTGCCTTTAAACATTCTGCAAGATCTTTGTGTTTATTGAACTGCTGTGCGTCATTGATCAGTCACGGCATCCAAATAATTTAATTCAAACAGATGAATAAAAACCCCACATTTGAACGTGCCCAGGAAAACTTGCTTTTTAACATAACACTTCCTAAAACATAAACAGAAGCACAGTTAGTATCTGCCTCCGATACACTTGATGAAGTTTACACAGGAAGCTGTTGTTAATGTTTTAATGATCTGAACAGGCATGTCTCTATATAGTATAAAAGGTGTTAAATGTAGTTTATTTTTAGATTTAAAGCAAGCAAGCAATCACTGATGTGAGCTAGAGTGCAATGTTTCGTAACAAGACAGGATCAGACATGGGACGGTTGGCAAATGAGGCAATTGGCTCCCAGGCCACTAACATTGGAGGGCTAGCAAATGAGCACAAATCACCGAAAATACTCCTTCATATTGGGCAGGCCATACTGACTAAGTATTGTATGACCATTCATGCTGATATCTTCAAGTTTCGTGCGTATAAAACAGCCAATTTGTTTGTATCTGCTTCCCAAGCTCAAAGTTGCCATCCCTCCCCTGACAGCAGAGTTTCAGAGTAATTAGAGCTACGGTCTTTCATTTCTACACAGTGCGTACGGGGTGCGCTAAAATATTTCCACCCTATAGTATAAAGTACAAGGATTTGTAAATTCCAGATTTATAGCAAGCAGAGTGTCAGCTCACTCAGCAGCCAAGCATGATTAACTAGAGACAGAACACGTCATAGTTTCCTGCAGTCTGTCTGCTTGGATCATTGCATGTACCATGTCTTGAAATGTTGGCAAGTAGAAAGGTGCTATAAAATGAAGCTAGATGTGAAGAATTTAGATAAATATTGTAAAAAGTGTTAGGAATACAAACCTGAATTCCTAATGCAATATTGTCCCTGTCTCTAGTTAAATACAGGCGTCCCCCCTCCTGTTTGCCATAAAAAAAAATAAAAAGTGACTTATTCCAACTCTTTTTTTCAAGACTTCCTCAGCGCTACTCACCTCTCCACCACACATAACATCATTAAAGAGGCATAGCCTCGTCCACGATGGTCCAATCCAATGTTCCTCAAATAGGAGAATTGCGTATATGAATACCATGCGTGGCGAATGCCGAGCTTGCTTTCAAGCTTCCCCATAGTAAAGAATCGCATTCAATGCTTTCCAACGGGCTAATCGGTCCGTGTAGCGGAAGCACGTCTGGTCAGTCTGATAGCCAAAAGAGGTGCATAAAAATGAAATTTCTAAAAAACTGCAATGTTTACATTGCAGGGTTAAGAGAACGGGGCCACTGCACTCAGACCATGTCACTGAGTTAAAGTGAAATTAGTGACTTTAGTGTTCCTTGAATCATAGTGATGCCATACTAGACTGTTTTTCAAATGTGCTGTAATTATGTTTTCATTGAGCATGGGGGTACCAAGGTGAACCCCTAGCATTCATGGACACTAAAGATGTTATTGCCTGCAACTCCTCTCATTCTCAGCTGGGTAAAGCTAGAGTACTGCATTGCATTGTGAATGCAGGTACCTCCAACCTCCTAACTCTAACAGCAACAATTATAACCGTTACTTTAGGAATGTTGCTGTAGTGATGTTCGGTTCTTATGAACACGGCCATTTCAGGGACACTCAGGTGACGAATTATATGTATTTTTTTTTAAAGCTTTCTTTATTTAAGACTTATGTAGACAAATGAAACGGTAACACAGCAGGTCATGGTATCTGACATAATATTAGGCCAATTATATTTTAAATGCATAATGTAATTAATTGACAGTATTTAACATCTTTCAAACAGATGGAAATTTTACATCTATAAGTATACAATTTAGTTTTTGGGGTTTTTTTTGCCGGTGAGACGTTGGGGTCATTCTGTTTGCAGCAACAAACCATAAATATGTCAAGCGCTGCTATCCTTCCTGTTTGGGTATATTTTTGGCTGCCATGAAAAACCTGTCAGAGTAAATATGGTCTTTCAGCGTCTTCTCTCTGCTTTTCAGATTGAGCAGCTGGGCGTGAGGCAGCTCACAGAGGAAGCGGTAAAGAGTTACAGCTCGGCAAGTCTGCATCTGCACCAAGACCCTCAGATGGATCAAATACCACGCATCATTTCAGACGCTTGCACGCCACATCAGAGGTCGTTTTATAGAGAGAGCCAGCAAATCACCGTCTGAGTCACTCAGTCATTCTTCTACATGTCTGTGCATTTGCAGAATTTGTATATTTTTGTACATTTTCACTATCTCCTATACTACTCGCTGACCCTAGGAGTTTGCAGTTTAAATAAAAACAAAGGTGGCAAACTTTGCGCAGGTGATGCCACCAATGACATTAACGCTTTGTTGTTGTCACATGGGTGTAGTCTCATCCATTTGTCAGTGAAATGGGATTGGCTGTCTCCTGGGCAAAGTTTGAAGAATCCTGGTGATATTGAAATACCAGCTATTTTTCTGACATTACTTGCCTGTTACTGGGAGCAGTTCCAGGGTGACATCTGATGTATGTTTATGTACCTTATAGGTGTTAAGTGCACAGTGCGCAGGCTCCATGCATCAAAGGCAAATAAATTGAAAGAGGAAACACATCCATTACTAAATCCTGCAAGTGTGGAAACCTAGATTTAAGAGTAAACCATAGTGGTCTTGCAGTATAGCAAAATGTATTTTGGGCTTAATCACCAATGCAACAATTATGGAGAACTGACTAGAGAAAAGCACATTTTAGGCTTCAAAATTTCCCAAATTTGACATTTTAGGAGTTCTTTGATTCTACCCTAAAATCATTTAGTGAATGAATTGTAGTTGTGCTCGCGATATATTTAATACATTGTATCGGTGAAATGCCATGGTATTTGAAAACAAATACCACAAATATCAACTGAAAACCATTCCTAGCAGGGCATTCTGGGAAGAGATGTGTGTGGGTAAAGTCCACGCAGGGCCCTGGGGAAAATAAGTAATCATGCCACTGTATAGAGATATGAATCAAAGTGCCCATCCAGTCTGCCCATGTTGAGACCTCATATTTATTTGTCAAATTTTATGATCAGCATCTTCACTGTCTTAGTCTTTACCCTTTCCACTGAACAATGACTCCACATATCTGCTACACTTTCCATATTACTATTAGCTTTTACTATGATCACTGGAAGGCTATTCCTGATATATAATACTGTCCTATCTGGTTCATTCTCGGTGTGAACCATATCCAGTGGAAGACCACGTTGGGTATCTACCACCATTTATGAGCCGTTGCCAATATAATCTATGCCCATTGCAGGGCTAGTTGGGGTAACTACTATCTAATATTTATCACTGACAGTATTTACTTCAGCCAATGGAGGTCTAATTCAGGTATCTACTACATTACCCTTTTGTAAGAAAGTATACTTTTACATTGTGGACCCCAACATTCCACTGTAATGTTAATATGTCCCTCTTTCTCTAAAACCCCTATTATACTTCCTTTTTCAATGTATCTTTTACTGCTTTCTGTATCCTGTCTCCTTCAGTATATGATAAGATTGAAGTCTTATCTGCTATGATTTGTTCTGCATGTCTGTCCAAACTTGGATCTTCATACAGACATTACTTTACAACTTCCATGATGCTTCGTCAGGCTGAAGAGACAACAGTTAAAGCACATAAATGAAGCAATTTTTAGTGTAATGTAGGGATGCCAGACCTATAATGTCCAATCATGTGTCAAACTGTCAATATGCCCAATTCCTAATTATTAATATAAGGGATTATATAAATATATCTCTGTATAGCACAGAAGTGAAGACAAAATATATAAGTACTCTTTTTTATGAGTCCCAAAACATTTTACTTGATTTCTGTAATTGACCCGTTTACTCTTTATGTATAGATGCAGGGGAAATATTTCTGAGAAGCTATACAAGTCTTGTATATAGATAGATAAGCAAGCGAAAGATTATTTTTATAATGTGAATTTTCTACAACATTTGCAAGTATGTTCAGTGTTTCTGAAATTCGGCAATTTGTGTTTTTAGTCAATGAAAATGTATATATGACCATTGTGATACAGAAATCAACTGTGCCTATGGATTTACAAAACAAGTGAACACGTTGCTTTGTGAAGAGCTATATATTTATAAATAGAAATATATTTTCTACCCAAATATGGTAATAAAAGTGTTTTTTGTAAACTCTCATTTTATAGACGTTTTAATTTGCATTCCGTTTGATATTTTATTATTTAATTATGAAATTTTAAGAAAATGAGTTAAATATAGTTGATTTAAAAACATGTTTTAATTGATTTCAGAGACATTGGGTGAAATTTCTTTTCACTACCTATAATTTTATATTATATATTGGACCAGAGTTGGACAAATCTTTTGTAATCTTTACATTCTTGACATGTCTTTGGTCTTGAAGGGTTAAGTCAACAGGGATTATGGGGAACTGAAAATAAAATTGCACATTGTAGGCAAAAACAGTAGGAATTTTAAATAATTTGAGTGCAGCTATTTGTGTTTTGGTATCTATCAAAAACTCACCGTCAAAATGATCCCTTCAAAATGTTGAGTCATTTCTGGACACAGTAATGGTGACCCATTCATAAGAGCACAGTGACTAGAGAGCTCTTCTCAATTATTATCATTTATAAAGCACCAACATTGTCTGCAGTGTTGTACAATTAAACAACGGGGCTATGAAGAATGCCCTACTCAAACACAATGAGGATTTGAGATATGAGTATATATATTGTTAAGGAACACTAAGAGCAGGATTGAACCTGGGTCTAGCGTTATCACAGCTTTAACCAGCCATCATATGATGATGGTGGGGACCTTCCACAAACATATTTAATGGGTGCCTGCACTCAAGATGACGTGGACTGTATCTACCTGAGCAAGGGGGATAACATGAATGACAATACAGTATGACACTCCCAGTGCGCAAAACTCTCTAAGGTTACTAGATCCTCCCTTCCATGCTTTGATCGTTTAGATTGGGATTGTGGAGAGTGCTGCTGAACTCCAAACCACAGCCATAATTATTTTCAGACCAGATACAAGAGTTAACCAGATATAGCCATGCTACTTAAATCACACATCACTAGTGTACAGCCAGCACTACTTAAATTACACACTATCATTAGTGTATAGCCAGCACTACTTAAATTACACACTATCATTAGTGTCCAGTCAGCACTACTTAAATTACACACTATCATTAGTGTACAGTCAGCACTACTTAAATCATACACTATCACAAGAGAACAACCAGCACTACTTAATGCTCACACTATCACTAGTGTACAGCTACCACTGTTTAATTCACACACGATCCCTAGTGTACAGCCAGCAATACTTAATTCACACACTATCACTAGTGTACAGTCAGCACTACTTAAATCACACACTATCATTAGTGTACAGTCAGCACTACTTAGTGTGTGATTTAAGTAGTGCTGACTGTACATTAGTGATAGTGTGTGATTTATCACTAATGTACAGTCAGCACTACTTAAATTACACACTATCATTAGTGTACAGTCAGCACTACTTAAATCACACACTATCACAAGAGAACAACCAGCACTACTTAATGCTCACACTATCACTAGTGTACAGCTACCACTGTTTTAATTCTACCAAAAGGCTGAAAGACCTACATAAGTAAAAATTACTTAGTAAATTGTGCCCTATTAGTAAATTGTGCCCCAGGGGCATGTCTATTAAACAGTGAGGAGCCGGTGGCTGCTCACTGTTAAATTTTTTTTTATTTTATTGCCCCCCCCCGGCCCCCACCCCAGAGCGGCAGGTGGGGGCCCTAAAGTAAAATAATGGGGGGGGACCTATTGCCCCCCCGGCCCCCACCCCTGAGTGGTGGGTGGGGGCTCTAAATAAGAATGAGGGGGGGACCTAAAGTCCTCCCCCTTGGCCCCCACCCCTGAGCGGTGGGTGGGGGCCCTAAAAACTAATTAGGGGGGGACCTAATGTCCTCCACCCTGGCCCCCACCCCTGAGCGGTGGGTGGGGGACAAAATTAGAATGAGGGGGGGGAGACCTAATGTCCTCCCCCCTGGCCCACACCCCTGAGCGGTGGGTGGGGGCCCTAAATGCTAATTAGGGGGGACCTAATGTCCTCCCCCCTGGCCCCCACCCCTGAGTGGTGGGTGGGGGTCCTAAATTAGAATGAGGGAGGAGGACCTAATGTCCTCCCCCCTGGCCCCCATCCCTGAGCGGTGGGTGGGGGCCCTAAAATACTAATTAGGGGGGGACCTAATGTCCTCCCCCAAAGCCCCCACCCCTGAGCGGTTGGTGGGGGCCATAAGTTAGAATGAGGGGGGAGGACCTAATGTCCTCTCCCCTGGTCCCCACCCCTGAGCGGTGGGTGGGGGCCCTAAAATTCTAATTAGGGGGGGGACCTAATGTCCTCCCCCCTGACCCCCACCCCTGAGCAGTGGGTGGGGGCCCTAAAATACTAATTAGGGGGGACCTAATGTTTCCCCCCCCGCCCCCACCTCTGAGCGGTGGGTGGGGGCCCTAAATGCTAATTGGGGGGGAACCTAATGTCCTCCCCCCTGGCCCCCACCCCTGAGCGGTGGGTGGGGGCCCTAAAGAAAAAAAATAACCCCCCCCCGGGAGACTAGGGGTCCCCAAACCCCTAGTCACCCCCTCCGTAAAAAAAATTAACCCCTACCTAACCCCCTCACCCTAAAAATAAGGAGGGGGGACCATTTAACTAAGTACCTGAAAAAAAATAAAATAAAACTTACCATTTGATATTTTCTTTCTTCTAAAATCTTCTTTTTTCAGCCCCCAAAAAGGCCAAATAAAAACCAATAATAACACGCTGTGTTCCCTCTCCAGCTCTAACTCTCGCGAGACTCGACTGTGCCCTGGGTCCCCCCACCCCCATTACTTTACTTTAGAATGTCCGAATTGCCCAGAATTCATCCAAATTCATATTCGACCCGAAACGAATTGCACATGTCTAGCCACCACTACTTAAATCACACACTACCTCTAGTGTACAATCAGCAATACTTAATTGACACACTATCACTAGTGTACAGCCACCACTACTTAATTTCCACACTATCACTAGTGTACACAGCCACTACTACTTAATTCACACACTATCACAAATGTACAGCTACTACTACTAAGAGCACTAGTGTACAGCCACCACTTCTTAATTCACACACTATCACTAGTGTACAGTCAGCAATACTTTATTTACACACTATCACTAGTGTACAACCTGCATTACTTAATTCACACACTATCACTAGTGTACAGTCAGCAATACTTTATTTACACACTATCACTAGTGTTCAGCCAGCACTACTTAATTCATACTCTATCACTATTGTACAGCCAGCAATTCTTAATTAACACACTATCACTAGGGTACACAGCCACTACTACTTAATTCACACACTATCACAAGTGTACAGCTACTACTACTAAGAGCACATAATATCACTAGTGTACAGATAGCGCTACTAAGGCCAGCACTACTGAACTACTGAATGCACATTATCACTAGTGTATGGTGACATCTCCTAAATGCGTGTCACTAGTATATGACCACCACTACTTAATACGCACACAGTTATAAGTGTATGGCTACCACTACTTATTACACACACAGTTGTTAGTGTATGGCTACCACTACTTAATACACACACAGTTGTTGGTGTATGGCTACCACTACTTAATACACACACAGTTGTAAGTGTATGGCTAACACTACTTAGTATTCAACAATCACTAATAAATACACACACTGTTTCTAGATTACAGCAACTTTAATGGAATGGACACACTATCGCCACCAATACAAATTGGACACACTATCACTAATATTTAGCCACCATTAAATACACACATTGCTGCAAGTGTATGTCCACTGTTGTTACACCCTGCCTGCCAATTACTTTCCTGCCCCCCTGGGCCACAGAATGCCTCGCATAGGTTGTATAAATATCTGTCTTGGGTCAGATTGTAGAGAGATAGAGGATGATTTTAAGACCTTTCTACCTGTGTACAGGTAAAGCCACTGATTTACCTGCTCTAAAGCATGTGAAGGTATTATGACCTGTTGGTGAATCCTGAGAACAGGTCTTAAGAGCCGAGAAACAGCCAAACTAACTTGGCTCCTGCTAGAGATAGCCCTTTGTTCAATATCAGCTTATAATATTCAGGCTGTTTCTGCCATTTAATCTGAGTACAATATCTGAACAACACAAGTGGGGCTAAAAATAAAATGAAAGAAAAATGAAAAATTCTGGAACCATCTGCTTCCGTCCCCACCAGAAGATGTTGGCCATCCCCTCCACTCAGCGTGTGAAAAGTTATCTGTTACAAAATAAACAGCCGCCACAGATTTCTAGGTAGTGCTGTTTTTTTCTAAAAAAATAAAAATAAAAAGTTGCATCATCATAGTGTTTGGCTGATGGCTTGCAATGGGATTGCACAATTTAGTTCTTCTGTACTGATCTAGTGATCCAAATACCCACGTGACCCAGGCATATGAGCCCACAAACCCATGGGGAGAGGGGGGGTTAATAAATGAAATGTCATTACAAGTAACCCGTGATTTGGTGTGAGTGCAATGCTGAGACATGGACATACACTATAGCAGAATAGGGCTCGCATTGAAACCCAATACTCCTGAATATCTAGTCCAACACAGGTCACACGGCGGCCATTCTGGATTGAGAGACATAATATGTACATCTTCAGAATGTCTTACTGAAGATTACGTCTCCTATCCTTGTTGTCTGATTTATTAGGGCTGGGTTCTCCAACACATATATATATTAACATGCTCTATATCTCAGAAAATGGTAACATAGAATTCTGCAATTCCACATAAAAGGTCGTTTATTGTTTTAGTGGTATCTCCATATATTGCTATGGGCCAATATAGGACGTGGTACTTTGGCAAGCAGTGGTCAAACACAGGTAGTCACGTCTGCAGGGAAGGAAAGATGATAAAATGCCATCAGTAATTGAATTTAGCTTTATCAGTACAAAGGTAAAAAATAATACTGTGACAAGGAAGAGACAAGAGGTCTAAAATGTTTCATGTTTTAACAGAGACACCTCTATTTATATAAAACCTGCTGCTATGGAAGTGGCACTCCTGGGCACTCTGCTGTGTAGGCAGAGCTGATACAGACATGC